TCTGTCCAGGTGAGTCTACTAAACTGTGTGCAGCTTCTGTGCTGGCCTGTCTACACTAAATAAACCATGATGAGGAACCCACATACAGAATGGTTTCAATGTGTTACTGTTTGTAGTATAGACAGCTCTGGAATATGAGCCCAGAGAATCATGCTTGACTCAGCTGTGCCTATAGGGCTTAAGGGACAGTGTCTCTGGCTCACACAGGCTGCGTATTGGCTCAGGACTGCAAGATGGAAATGAGTGTTCCCCTGAGCCTGGCATGGCTGATGCTTGGGGCCCTGCAGCACTGGACTCATATCTACGCCTCGATATTGTTACTGAGATAGGTCATTGTCAACTCTGGAGAAGCTGTAAGGAGCTTCAGCGGGACTTTAAATACATATGCAGTAGAGGCAGTGTGAGGGCAGATGAAGTTCAGTTGTAAATGTGTATTGGAGGAAAGTGGTTGAAATACTCAGGCACCTTACTGGGTTCTCAATTAATCATATCGGCTTAGCTGGGTGTCCCTGTGGACAGGTCGGTGAGTAACTCTGTGCAGTAGTGGCTGTAATCCCCACTGGTCAGTCATTAATGTCAACAAAAGGCATTTTGGAAAGAAGATGATGCTTCCTGCTTTGGGTCTGAAACCAGTCTCTGCCTAGAGATCAGGGTGAGACTTAACATGAGGGCAGCTTACTCTCTGTGCCTTCCTTTGAACAAGCTGGTGGGGGTCATTGTCAGAGCCAGGGTGCTGGAGTGGGCAAACTGTGGGTCTGATCCAGTCAAATGGCTCCTGTGTTGCTAAATGTGTTTGAATTAGGTTTTTGAAAAACAGGAAATTAGCCTGCGGGGGAGTTTGAGCTTGGAATAATATCTTCAGCAAAGGTTACCACTTGGCAAGGCTATTCTAGACATCCGGGGGATTCTAGCAGAAAAGTACAAATCTGCCTTAATGACCAGCCTTATCACAGTACCATTGTAATACAAAAGGAAAAGCTGCTTCCTCTGTAAACTCTGTGTTTTCCCAGGACTGCAAGAATCTCGAGAGCTGACTGAGATGCATATCTTTGAGTGTTTCTGTAGCGTCTGCCCCTCTGTTCCCAGTTCTGCTGGGCTCAGAGGAGAAGCGGAGGTGGGCCTAAGCACCCCTGTCTTTGTCCCTTGCAGGGAGTGCAACCGCAGGCATCAGGTCATCGCTGTGCTGAACGATTTATATGTGGCCATATTCCTGCACCTCTACTACACCTGGAAAACCCAGCACAAAACCATTTCTGACTCTGGCTTTGTCCTGAAAGGTACATTTCGTTCCATCTTTTCTCCTGTTCTAAGGGATGATAGCATGAGTGTCTAGAAGACAAACACTCCTTATGCTCTATGCCATTGATAAGACTGGTTTCCAGTGCCCAAACTAGATCAGATGTAGAGGGGAGAACGTCCTTAAGCTACCATTGGTCATGTAATAAGTTTGTATCATAATGTGTGTGCACAGGGTAAGGGGTAAATTGAGAAGGTAGTATCACTTTCAGGGTTTGACTTCATTCATTTTGTAAAGTTCAATTCCAACAGGGTCTGTATGTGATTACAGATGTTGTTCCTAGTGGTGGCTCTTATATATAGCTATCCATACTGTTTTTTATCTATAAACCCTATGCTTGAGGCCTAGCAGGGGTATTTCTGAAAATGAACAAAATAAAAGCCATGGGAGAAACAGAGTGCTGTCTAGGTTTGTGAGGAGCTAGCACATATTGTTGAAAAAGTGGGGCACAAATCATCACAAATAGATCTCCCCCTCCCCATCCCCACCCAGTGGCCCCCCCTGCACTCTATCATTTAGTACTGGGCAGGATTTGAATTACACTTTGACCCTTGCGGGGGGGTCTGTAAAAAAAATTGGGCTGCCCATCGCAGTTCCCTAATAAAATCAGAGCCGCCCCAGGTTGTGTTTTTCAAATCTTACAGGGGGGCTCTCGTCTCTTTATGGGGGGGGCCTCAGCCTCCCCGAGCTTCCGCATAATTTGCACCCTGGTACTGGGGCTTTTTCATATCTGTGGTCAGGTGGGTGATGCCCCAAGCTGGGACAACAGGGAAATGATTTGTTCAAAGACACTCTTCCATGGTTTTTAGTTGCATGTTCTGTACCCTCCATTACCTGGTGCTCTGGGGTCCTGGCCTGCAAGAGAACCACGCACTTAGGAGACTGGAGACAGTACTCCGTCAACCCTATTGTCAGATCTCTTATTATTTTCCCCACATCTCTTTCCAGAACTGGAGGCATTTGCCAAAAAGAAACCAAGGCAGCTCCTGAAGTATTTGGAAGCCTACATGAGTGGAAACACTGAGTCAATAATGGAAGATGGTTTCCAGCACTTTTCCGCTTCCTCCAGCACACACAGACTCACCCATTACTCTGCTGGCAGCAGCAGCGGCAACAAAGAACTAAATTTTACTGGTGTGTGCGACCTGCATGTTGAGATGGAAGGAGAAGCCCGGCTGATCTGAAAGCGAGCAGTCTCTGATAACTGGGAAGGTCTTAGTAAGGCACTGGTAGACATGCCTGTCAGCCTGTTTTGTCAGAGGCCAGTAAGCCAGCCAGTCTGTTTATAGGAGCCTCTGAAGGGCTGTGGCATGAGAGGTGGGTCTAGAATAAACCCAGAGCAGTGCTTCTCGCAGAGTCAGAGCTGCTAGGTCAGATGTAGTGAAGCTGGTAGAGCAAAACCTTGGGGCACCTGCTTTACTGTAAACACAACGAAGGTGGGGGAACAAATGGCTCTGACAGTGACAGGCTTTGGCCCTATCTCTACTGAAGTGTGGGTTGAATGGGAGGGCCTTACGCATGCTGAAAATAAGCAGCTTGCCCCAAGACCCAAGGGCTTTGGTTTGTTAAGAGTCATTTACTGCCAAGCCCTGAGGGAGATGAGTCCTGTTATGCTAAAGTAGATGGTAAACTGGTGAAAAGTTTGGGTTTATTCCAGTCGTTGAAATTCGCAGGGCCAAGTTCTCCACATGGAGACACATGCTAAGGAGTTGACTCCTTGCTTGTGTAACATTAACCACTAGATGTGGGCTGGAATTGGGGTCCATCTTGTTATCCTAGATATGCCTGTGGTCCCCATTACCAGAGCAACTAAGTACCTCACCCTCTTGGAGGTGGCTATACCTTCAGCCCCATTGTCAGTAGGACAATGCTAATATTTCCATTTGAAAGGTGGGGAACAGGTCTCAGAGAGCTGAAGTGACTTGTTCTGGATCATGCAGGAGGTCTGTGGCAAGGCATTGAACCCATGTCCTTAGTTCAAGTCTAGTGTCTGAACCACTAGACTGTAGGGTCTGTATTGTACATCACAGTGATAGGTTCTTCTTTTACAGCATGCAGCTAAATGTGATAGTTGAAAAATTCAGGGTGCCTGGGCTTTTTGCTAGGGGTACTGCCATTCATAAACCCCCTCTTCTCATTCAGTGCCTCCCTACAGGTTTCTTTAGCCAGAGCCTTCATAAAGTTTAAAGTGATAGAGAAATGCTGTTGATACTCTACACAGGTAAAAGGCCCATCTGCAGTACAGCCTCCAGGAGCATTAAGAGAACAGCATCACTCCTGGCTTATAAATGCATCCATCTCCAACTCTAGAGTGGAAAAGTAGGCCTGCACAGCTTGCTTAGGGCAGCTCACCAGTGTTCTGGAGGGTAGGAGTGAGGGACTGAGACACAGGCATCATCATTAACACTAGGTATCTGGCTGCAAGGGATTTTCCCCTATTGTCATGCTCACAAATCCTTGCAATTTTCCAGTGAGTCTGAATTTTTCCTGGCTGGTTCTGAGCTCAAAGGCAGCTGAGGTTTTTGTTGTAGGAGGCTTCAGCAAATTCCTGTTCAAATATTGCTGAATTATTGATGCAGAAGAGAGAAACTGGTAGCTTTCAGCTGTATTCTTGTTCTCCTCCCAAAAATCAGTGCCCCTGATGTTGCTAGCTCTTGGTATTTCTATCACAGGCTATGCAATACTTGGCATTTTACCTAAGCTGTTACTAGCCATTAAGGATGGGATTTGGATGTTCAACTCCTCTTGAGAATCCTATATACATTCTTAGGTGCCTTAGTACCTTTTAAGAACTGGCCTCTAATGACTTGCTTGAGGTCACACAGGAGTGGGTGGCTTTGATTTATTGGTGGTCTTAAAGTTCCCTGCAGGGGGAAGAATTCTGATGGCAGAAGGCTTTTTAGTTGAAAGATCCAGTTTTAGGGAGGTGGAGTCTTACTCTGAAAATAAGGTGCAGGTTCACAGCAGCAGGTTAAGTCTAGTGGAGAGGGTTAAATGGATAACAGATAACCAGTGGAATAGCTGCCCAGGGGAATTGGTGAACCCAGAATGTCTTTGTAAGAGTTGCGTGTACTACAGATAGTAGTACATGTAAGTACTGTAAGAGTACAGGGGCTGGGTGCAGGTAGCCATATGTACACAGGGAGCAAAGCAAAGCAGCTGTAGCTCAACCATGAGCAGTTGGTGTTGATGTACTGTTTGGCCTAGTAGAGAAAATATTCCATCCACGGCAGGAATTCCAGAGGAGGGGAGATACTGCATTCCTGTATAGCCTTAAAGATTATGACAAGGGTGTGTGAGCAGCTTAATTTAATGAATGTGTTTTGCAGTACATTTTAAGAGGGCAGACGCTTTCACCTACCCACCAGCAGGGCATGTTTTCCTACAGAGATGTAAGCTCTGGGTGGTAGGAGTTTGCTTTCACCTTCTGCTTGGTAGCAGTGAAGTATGTGCCTGTGTGTTGGAGACATGGTCCCCAGCTGGGGCTTTGTCCAGCAGGAGTCTTTTCCTTGTAACCGAGAGCGTTGCCCTTTGGGTCACTGCAGCACATACAGCATAAATGTAGAAGGTAGTGGAGAGTGGGAACCTTGTACCACTACATTGTAACCATATGCGTCTGTACCCCAGCTGCTGCCACACAGGCACTTTACAATAAAATCTTGAGATCTCATTTCCTTGCCTCTGTGCTCACTGAAGGCGGACTTGGCATTCCTTTGTATGCAGCTGTGCATATGCAGCATGAACAGAGTTGTCCTCTCCGGGCTGGTAGTGAGATAACTGAAAAACAAAGTTGGAGAAGGCTGTAGCCTTGAATGTGCAGGTGTGGCTTTTTACCCACCAAAGACTGTCCCTCTTGTAGGAGGAAATGGCCCGGGTAATTAACGGTGAAAAGATTTTTTTGGTACTAATATTTTAATCATTATTTAAAATTGGAAATCACAAAGCAACACCCCCTTCCCTGGAGTCTGAGTCTCACTGGGGACAGATTCCAGAGGACACTTACTTGCTTTATAGATTAGTCCTCTCAGCCAGGCCTGGAGAAAGGCTCCTATAGGTATTTTATTGGCAAATACAGAAGTGCATGGCCATTATTTAAACATCAGTAATGGGTCAGTGTTGAGGACCTATTATATAGACTTTGGTGAAAAAAACATTCCTGCCATATATTTGTGCCTTAGAATGCAAAACTGAATTCAAGCAGCATTTTCAAGTAAAGCTCAGTGTTGGCTCAGATCCTCAAGTCGTCGTCCCCCAGCTTCCTTTGCCCTATGAACAAAGCCTGGGTGGCGGGAGGAGGAAGTAGATCCCCAGGTGACTGAAAGCAGGTGATGAATGTGATGCTTACCTGGGACAATGTGCTGATGGTTTCAGAACCTCTGTGTTGAGGTGCTTCCTTTGTAAGAGGCCAGCATTTCCAGGATTTATTGACCAGGATTGGGGTGTGTCTGCTGGCTGAACAGATGTGCACAGAGAAACTTGTTAGAACCACCAGCAAAATCCCTTGCATGCTAACTGTAATGGACCAGTTCTGTCATCAAATGCTGAACAGCACCTCTGAGTCCTTACCCTCTTGGTGCCCATGGCAGGGCCAGAAGGAATCCCTGCACCTTTCCATGTTTCCCTGCCTGTAGAGAATGATGCTGATTTTTTTGGTAAGTGCTTGGAGGTCTACTGCTGGATATGTATGAAAACAAGGCAGCGTTATAGGATAACCACAGGCAACTGCAGGGCTCCTAAAGAGGCTGCACATGGTAAGTGTCCCATTTTATTTACTTCCATGCCACAGACGTGACCTGGCCACATGATGTCGCCCTACAGTCACTAAAAACCCTGGCATCAGTTTCAGTTCCTTCCTAGGCCTTTCCATTAGGTAAATGCTAAATATGCAACATACGCTCTGCATGCACGCATTCCTCTACACCAGTGGTTTTCAACCTTTTTTCATTTGGGGACCCCTAAAAAATTTTGAATGGAGGTGTGGACCCCTTTGTGTAGTCACACTTTTGATCATAGTCATCTTAAACAGGCCCCTTAAATATAGCCTGTGGGCCCCCCAGGGCTCTGCGGACCACAGGTTGAAAACCACAGCTCTACGCGCTGTCAGGGCTATGGATGTGGGCTTGCCAATGATAGCCGTCATTGCCAATCACTGGGCCCCCATCACCATTGTGTCATGAGCTGGAATATTTGCATTAGCATAAGAAGCAGGCTTCATGCTAAAGCACATGCAACTGCTACCTTGCTATTGCTCAGTCAGCCATTGGTTTTCTATGACTGCTATGTCTCATAGATGCTAACCTCATATGGTCGGCATAGTGCTATCTCTCAGAAGCAAGCTGTCCCCTCAGGCCCTTTTGGCAAGGGAACCATATGTTACCATGGGAATGCATTTATTTGCTGTAGACTGCCATATTCTGTTCATACAGAACAGATTGGAAACTTCCCAAAATTCACAAATGTTTAAAGTGCTCAAGTTCTGTCAGGTTGAACTTGGATCCGAGTGCCTTGCCAGTGCTCAGTGGGCTCTAGTGGATGGGAAGAGATATGGGTATTAAGAGAAGGATCAGAGACAGGCCGGAGGAGTGAGGCAGGGAGTAGGCTAGTGAAGAGATTCCTTATCTAGGGCATGTGACCCACATTTGGGGTAGAAGTATGTCCTCCTGTCGAACTAAAGTGACTTACAGAACTGTGCTAGGGGACTGAAGTACACTGACTCTGTTACTCTTTAAAAAAAATCCTTCAGGTTCTCAGAAATGCAGAAGTGGGGTTAGAAATTCAATGGCAGAAGTGAGGCTCACAACCGGAAATGGGGTTGTGAGGTTAGAAACAGGCTCAAGAGTGGAAAAGAATGGGACTTACTGGGCTAGGGGAAGGAGAAAATGTGCTTAACAGGTGGCACGAAGTACAATGATAGCATATCCACCTGCAGGAGTGTTTATATAATATGATTGTGTCTCAAACATTTGAGAACTGCTTTTGGAGAGCATTTGATGAAAAAGAACAATTGGCATAAAGGAAGGCATAAAGCCCAAGTGTTGCACTGTCTTGGCTATCTTTCTTCACTCTTGCACACAGAACTGAGTCAGCTCCATGAAATTACAAATGAAGAATACAAAAAAGAAAGAGAGAGAAAAAAATAATTGTGACAGTCTACCAGATCCCAGGTAGGTGGATATGAAAGGAGATGTATTTACTGTTTAGCAACTGGATCTTCTGTGGATCATCTTGGGGAAAATGGTGCTAAAAAAGTTGGCTTCAGAGGAAGAGAAAATCTGAGTAGTCACAGTGTGAGCTGTGATAAGGGCACTTGTGTTCCAGATACATACGTCAACAGCAGAGTCCTAGGAGTGCTCTGAAAGTATTTTCAGCCCACAAAAACATTTTATATGTAAAAGGTAGCTCTTTAACAAATGTAATCAAGGAGCTAGAGAAACAATAGCCCATTATGTTTCTGAATTCCACAAAATGGCTGACTCATGTAATAATCAAATCTGAAAAGGTGAACTATTTCGTGATAGATTAGCACTAGGGATAAAAGATGCAGAGCTCAAAGAAGAATATGCCAAGGGCCCACGTTACTTTTCCAAAAGTCATAGACATGCACAGCTAACAAACGAGCAGCGTGCACGTGGGGCAGGTGGAGAGAATTCACCAAATAGCACCGGGGCAGCATGAAAATGAGGAAACATACAGTAAAACGTGTCAAAAAGGAAATACATAAGTGCAAACCAGAAGAGATGAAACACAATGGATGACCTATGGACATGATGGAGAAAACTGTGAGAATGCCCTGCATATGTGGCCATGTGCAACCAGCGTGGTCAGAAAAATCCTAGGGCAAACAACAAAAGCAAAACATCTTATTGAAGAACCCAACAGTGACACAAATAAAGTGGTTTTGCTCATGTATGACTTTAACATAGTGCAAAAAGCAAATGGTGTGTGAAGTTCAGAGCAGCACTAGACACAAAGGCAAGGCAACAACATGCGGATGGGAAATTGCATGCCAAATGTTCAGCAGAGCATCAGTGAGTTTGTTAAGCTAAAAAAACTTCCTTTATTTATGCAAGAGGAAAAAGTGAAAGTGCAATCCAGCAAAGCCAGATTCAAATGAAAAGATGGCATGATCAGCATACCACTAGGATGATAAAAGCAACATGCCAAAGAAAAGCAGGCAGGTGTCTCAGAAAGTCTAGGTTGCACAAACAACACCAAATCTGTAGTCACTAAATCACTGACTCTAGTGACAGCAAACTGGGGATAAACCATGCATACAGTAGACGTACAAGCAACTACACAAGACAGATTCACAAGCACTTATTTTTGTCATTCTCTCGGGAAAGTCAGACCCCTACGTAGGATCCCCAACTGTCTCTTGTGGATACCAAAGCTATCAAGGTGAATTGAACTAGGAAGAGTTTCCTTTGTAGAAAGCAGATAAATTCTCCTAAACGTACAAGAGAATAGACATCTCCAGAAAGCTGGACCTGCCATGTACTGGGCAAAAAGGACCTAGGACATTGGAGAGTTGGTGAGGTTCTTGGAGAGCTCATGGTTTGGTATGTGACTTCTCCCCATTTTTACATATCAGTCAGGCTGTTAAAGGAGCAAATTCCCCACACCCAGTCTATTAGGAGCCCTTTTAATGTCATGTTTGCAGTGCTAAAGTGAAAATTTGAGATTTATAGAAGTGAGAACAGAGATGGTTTTGTGACACTGTCATAGAGTTGAAAAGGCTGAATTAAAAAGCCAAAATATTGAAACTCAGCAAGGATCAGTACAGTCACTGCAAACCAAAGCAGCAATATGGTGCAAATCTAGTCTCCCAATGGGAAAAATATCACAAAATACAAGTGATCTTTGTCCTAAGGCTACACCCTCACTTTAACACACCATGGTAAAACAATACTAATTTTCTACTCGGGTATTGCTTCTACCACAGAAGCGTGTTTTTTGTGTATGACTCCTTCACTATACAGTCCAGTTATCTGCCAGTCAAGCATAGCACTACCAAATTAAACACCAGTTGTGTGATTTTTTCAGTCAGCAACCTGTTTAACCAAGCAGTCTAGCTTGACTATTTGGAGGCAAGCTGGGATGTGCCAACTCTATGCTGGCCAGGGAAGGAGGTTTAAGTAACTGGTGGTCTTTTGGCTCAGATCAAGTGTAGTTCCTTTTGGCTTACAGGGGCGTGCGTGTAGGATTTCAGTCTCTTGAGGGCCAAGATCACTTTGAATAGGGTTGTGTAGTTAAGTGGAGACTTGTCCAATGCACTGCATGCAGCCCTCACCTACAAGAGTCTACTATAGCTTTCCAGTGGGAGGATCTCGGTTACATGCTTTATTTTTATGGAGATGGGGGATTTTTCCTTAGGTTGCTCCTTTGGCCTTTTGGCTAAAGGCAAGTGAGACCTGGGGGGCATCTGAACTCCAAGGCCTCTGGACTTGGGGTCTGCACATAGGATTTTGGAGTATCTGAAGCCCCAGGCTGAAGAGTCTGGGAAGGAGGATAGTTGCTGGTGGTAGTGCCACACAGACTTGAAGAATTAGGCTAAGTACAGACCATCAAAAAGCCCGAGACTGAATTGATCCAGTCTTTGCAAGTTAGTTGACACTGCAAAGATTGAACCAATAAGCAAATGAACATACATTCACTTTTGATTCA